CACTATATATATAAATATCCACATTGTGTGTGTAGGGCCAAGGCTCGACGGGCCCAATGGGGCAGCCCGGGCCCTGTACAGCTGTACTGGCTGTACCCCCCTGATGGCGGTCAAGCATCCCAGTATTAAGATTGCCCCACCCCGTGCAACCCTCTTCCATTCTCACCATAATGTCACTATCGCATACCCTATGATCTTCATTCCTCCATTTCCACCTCACTGTTACCCTCTGTCTCATTCCCATGCCACCATCTTATCCACACTCGTAACGGTGGCTTACAGCTACATAAACCTTAATATCTTTGGATACACTTTCCAAATTATTTAATATTTTTGAGTAAACTATTAAAAGAACTAAATGATATGATATGAAAAGTTTATCCAACATTAAATCAAGGCCATGGTAATCTAGGTTAAAAATAGACTCAAGTCCATAACGTTTTACCTTTAAAACACATCTTTCTATTCTGATAACCCAAAAGAAGGAAAAAAATTACCAAATTGAAGTCCTGAATAAATTATTGCTGTAACTATTTATATGGAGACGTCTTGTGAAACATGTTACCACATTTATGTATTGTTGGCACCATGAAACATTTTCTAATAGTGATGTAGAATTATTAAAATCTTTATTAGAACCTGTATTGAATTATTGTACTAACTCCATTTTAATATCACACTATGACAGAATTCTCCATTTTGTTCACCTTACATGACAGAATTTCCTGACAGTATTCAATATAATGAATAAGAGATTGTATTTTCTCTCTCTAAGGACATAACTAGCCCCGGAGTTAGCGGATCTCCGTTGACTTGCAACATAGTATAATCCAAGGCCAGGAGAACAGCGACTAATGAAATGTTCTATTCATAAAAGAACCTTGGAACAGACCACGAGACTGACATCACTAACTACGTAAAATGATGCCCAAGCCCCCCTTTCCACCGAGTAAGCCTCGTGCTAAAGAGCAATGGCGACGACATCCCATGATGGGAGGGTGCCTCACTAGTCACTCAAATCTCTGAGCCAATTAATAATATTAATGGGTGGACACTGACATAGCCACTTAACATTTAACCCAATTAATGATGTTTATTTGTTATTATCTGATATTCAATGATGATGTCATTTTGCATATAAAAAGGCCTGCGTGCCCGCTTTTTAACTAGATGCTAATAAATTTCCTGAAGTGTTTTTAACCTGAACTGCATGTGTCAGTGTGAACTTACTTCTGCGTATACGCAATTTATTCATCTCAGATTTGGACAGGAACAGATAGACTTTTAAACATTTTTGTTTATTTCTAAATTAATCTACATCAATCTGGCGTCCATCCAACGTGGGGCATCGGGCTATGGCCTCCGGCCGGTAAGCCGTCCTAAGGAAGACGCTGTTGGACGGAGGAATCAGGGGGGAAGGAAGAGAAACTGATCACCTCTGAGTACACGGTAGAGACTTCTGCAGGAGCCACCGGTATGTTCCAGCCCCTTTGATTGACCCGTCCACGTGTCTGGGACTGCTTCCCGGGAGGGCATCAAAGACAGGTAATATCTTGCCCGGTGTCTTGTTACCCATTTGTTTACCTGCATTTAGTCTATCTGTTGCCTGGGTGTGCTAGTGGTATAGGTTTTGTTCGTTCCCTCTTTAGGGATAAAGGGGGGTGGACCCGTGGGTGGTTGCCTGGGGGTCTTCTGTTGCCTGTTTTTACCCCTTTTTAGGAGTCACTTGGCCCAGACTGTTGGGAAAAAAGGGGGGGTGGACCTGTGGGGATTTTCCAAAGGGGTCCTGTTTTCCTGTTTACTTCTTTTAGGTACTGTCTAGCTAACAGTAGTAAGGAAAAAGAAGGGTTGGGGGATCTGTGGAGGGGACTTGCCTCCTGGGGTTTCCCGGTTACGTCACTTTGATATTCTAGCTAGCCTCATTGTGTACGTTGCTCTGCTTGCAGAGGTTATGGTACCCTCCAGCTTCGAGCGCTGAGGCTGGTGGCATTCCAATTTATTTGTGGTGTGTGGATTCGGGCAGGCATTGTTGTCTCCATCACCACGGGGTAGTGTGACTTGTGGGTGGGTCCATAGGGAGCACTACGGGAGTGAGGATAGAGGTGGCCACACTTAGTGGACTGCTGTAACGAGGGAGGCATATGGATTTCGGGCCGGTGTTAGTCGTTATCCTTGGCCGCTGGTAGTGAAACTTACGAAAGTTGTTCTCCGAGCGGGGACATTACGAGGTTGAGGGAGGTGGCTTTGGTGGCCACAAGAGTAAAGGAAAGGGATTACTGTTGATGCATGCACTGTATTTCAATTGAAATGTTGTATTAAATGTTGTCTTAAGTGTGGAGTCATTCAAACTCCTGGGTCTGTCTCTACTTTCACTGTTTACTTTTCCTCTACTTCCTGTACTATTTACACTATCCACTCCTATTTCTCTTGAAAGAGAAGTGATTGGTCACACACTTCTCACCCCGCTCCAATCCGTGGTTACCATCGAGGGTACACGGATTCAGTGACTGGTCTACGTTTTGGGAAGACGCACTGGGAGGGACCCACCCTTCCTAGTGGCAGTCGAGCATTGTAGACGTTCTGTTTCATTTTCCTTTACCTATACTTGGGACGCTTTGTATAGGGGGATATGGGACAGGAAACGAGTAAGCCCGCTAGGGGCTGGCTCGCGTGTGATTTAGTTGAAGATAGAGAAGGTGAAGAACTGGTTAAAAATGTTGCAAAGATTGCTAAAGTGTGTAAAATTGCTGTGCCTTCATGTGGTAGATTACAGCCAGAAAGCTGGCGTAGATTACTGACAGAGAAGAAAGGCAAGCTTACAGATAATGATTTATTGCGTACTGCTGAAGCATGGTACAGAGTAGAAAGGCTATCCAGCAGGAGGGTTGGGTAGAGGAAGAGATAAATCATAAAGGGTTAAGAACTGTATGTATATCATAATAATTGTGTTACTGGGAAGTTATCCCAGCCAGTGCCCTGTCGGGGGTTCCAGGAGGTGACCACTTCCATCATCCTGTCAGTAATGACCGAAATGTAGCTGACCATGGTCCCCATCCCACCCCAATCTTAAAACGCTGTGGGGTTTTTGTATTTTGTGTTAGCCATTACCCTGGTAGAGGGTGGGGGTTTAAATGAAATGTTGTGTTTTTGCTTTATAATGTAATTGTCCTTCTGTCTTGTTACTGTACAGCGTTGACATGGTTAAATTCGTGCTGGCAGGCAGTCTCTCTCTTGTTCCACTCAAATCCCCCTCTGCTAAAACACCCCCCCCCTCCCCTCGCTTCTGTGAGACGCGGGGGGGAGGGGGCAGAGGGGGGTGGTGACATGCTTGCGATTTAGGTCTGTCTCTTCTGTGTTCTGTAGAGTTATTCAGAAGCTACTGATAAGATTTTTAGCAATGGAATTTTTGCTAGAAAAAAAATATTCTAATTGTGTATTTTGTTATCTCAATAGAAATTGATAGGATGGTTAGGGAGTGAATCTGATGCAGGAATAGAAGTTATTAAGTTAGTATATGTTTCTAGAGACAGCTTTGTGGGCTGTTAGATGTATAATATTCACAACTGTCTTATTTAATCCGTCAAGTCTGTCCACAGTTCAGATTTTCATTTTGCCGAACAGAATGTTACTTCCCATGAAACCCACGCCTCCAGAGAGACTTAGTATGCCCTAAAGGAAAATGGCCCCTAGAACAAAAGAAGGTTGTCCTTAAGTGCCTTCACTCTGCCCTTAGTGAGGTCATATCTGCCCATATATCGTGTCAGTTCTGGCCATCCATGGCTGACGAGATCTACTCCTATCATGCTCATCCTATCTTAAGACATGCTGTCTTCCTTAAATTCCCACATATTATGAACAAGAAAGTTACAATTACTAAAATAATCCTGCTAATGTTTCCCTATATCAGAAAAGTGTCTGTGACAAGTGATGGTTAATATGTAGAAAGGATATATATATACCGATTCACGTGTTAAGTAACAATATGTTTTAACTTTGTGTACAAAAAATTGATAACATGCTAGAAGAAGGGTTACTAAAAGAAATTTCTAATAAACAAAGATTTCTTGAACAAATGGTAATACAATTAAAGATTGGTCTCAAGATGTTTTGATCTAATTGAAAAGAACCAGAAAACATTATGTGCCTAACTACTAACAAATGGATAAGGGGGGAGTGTGTTCCAATCTGTCTTTATTGGATAATGTTAACCACCAAGATTAAAGACTGACTAACATATTTTTTTAATGTAAGCCCAGATATTTTATTATTATATATGCATAGAAGTCGAGACTTGGGGCATTATAGTGTATTGATTCTAGATCTGTTACTAGCAGCAAGTGCTTAGCCTTATGCCTATCCCACGCATGCTTAAACACTCCTTTACTGTGTTAACCTCTATCACTTCAGCTGGAAGGCTATTCCATGCATCCACTACCCTCTCAGTAATGTAATACTTCCTGATAGTATTTTTATTTAAACCTTTGTCCCTCTATTTTTGAGACTGTCCTCTTGTTATGGTAGTTTTCCTTCTTTTAAATATAGACTCCACTTTAACTGTGTTGATTCCCTTTGTGTATTTAAATGCTTTTATCATATTTCCCCTGTCTCGTCTTTCCACTAGGCTATACATGATAAGATCCTTTAACCTTTCCTGGTAAGTTTTATCCTACAATCCATGAACCAGTTTAGCAGCCCTTCTTTGAACTTTCTCTAAGGTATCCATGTCCTTCTAAGGATATGGTCTCCAGTACTGTATACAGTACTCCAAGTGAGGTCTCACCAGTGTTCTGTACAATGGCATGAGCATAGGCGTGCGCACGGGGTGTGCCGGGTGTGCCTGGGCACACCCTAATCCCCGTGCGCACCCCTATGGTTTGAGTCCTGCAGGAACAGCGTTCCTGCACTCTTTTGAGCAGGAACGCTGTTCCTGCAGGCACTCAGTGCCCCCTGTTTCACCTCTTGCCCCTGTCATGGGAGGGCAAGAGGTGATGATTCCCCCCCCCCACCCTGCGGCTCCCGGCATCAGCGCGCGGCGAGAGGGAGCAGAGAGCAGAGAGCTCCCTCGCCGCGCGCTGATGCCGGGAGCCGGAATATGACGTCATATTCCGGCTCCCAGCTCCAGCAGACAGCCCGCGCGGCGAGAGGGAGCAGACAGCAGAGAGCTCCCTCGCCGCGGCTGACCTGCAGAGAGGCGCCCGCCCCCACTGGACCCCAGGGACAAGTCCACCAGCACTCCAGGTAGGAGGCTGGGTGGACATTTAAAAAAAAAATTAAAATATAATAATTTGTGTGTGTGTCTGTGAGTGTGTAAGTATGTGTCAGTGTGTGTCTGTGAGTGTGTGTCAGTGAGTGTGTGTGTGTGTGTCAGTGTGTGTGTGTGTCTGTGAGTGTGTGTGTCTGTGAGTGTGTCAGTGTGTGTCTGTGAGTGTGTGAGTATGTGTCTGTGAGTGTGTGTCAGTGTGTGTCTGTAAGTGTGTGAGTATGTGTCTGTGAGTGTGTGTGTCAGTGAGTGTGTGAGTATGTGTCAGTGTATGTGTCAGTGTGTGTGTCTGTGAGTGTGTGTCAGTGTGAGTGTGTGAGTATGTGTCTGTGAGTGTGTGTGTCAGTGAGTGTGTGAGTATGTGTCAGTGTGTGTGTCAATGTGTGTCTGTGAGTGTGTGAGTATGTGTCTGTGAGTCTGTGAGTGTGTGTCAGTGTGTGTCTGTGAGTGTGTGAGTATGTGTCTGTGAGTGTGTGTGTCAGTGAGTGTGTGAGTATGTGTCAGTGTGTGTGTGTCAGTGAGTGTGTGTGTTTCTGTGAGTGTGTGTGTGTGTCTGTGAATATATATATACGTATATATATATATATGTATATATATGTGTGTATATATATATATATATATATATACACACACACACACGCGCGCGCGCGGCGTGTGTTTGTGCTTTAGGGTGCACACCCTAATGCAATAGGCTGCGCACGCCTATGGGCATGAGCACTTCCCTCTTCCTACTGCTAATACCTCTCCCTATACAACCAAGCATTCTGCTAGCTTTTCCTGCTGCTCTATTACATTGTACATTGTCATTAACAGAGAGAAACTGGAAACCAGAAAGGATAAATTAATGTATAGCTAAATGTAAAGCTTAACAAAACCTCCATTATCTTTTTCATTTATCTCGCAGAAAAACAATGTTATTTGTCTATTTTGTAAGTTTTAATACATTATCAGTGAAGAGTAAAATAAGTTTTATCCCTTTTGCGAGACATAAAATTGCGATAATGTATATTTGTGATGTAAGTAAGAGTTATATTTTATGATAGGTTGAAGAAAAAAAAAAAAGAGAGAGTCAGGGATAGCGTCTGTCTCTACGAGCAAAAGTCTGGTGTGGGAGATGTAGTGGACTAGCCACTGCGGGATACCCACGGAGTGAAGCGTTCGAGGCCTGTACAGACAGATGTGCTTGTTAGCCTTTTATTATTTTTCTCTAGGGAAAGCATAGGGCCAGTTAAAAGTTGTTGTACATGGGCTATTTGCAGCCTCCATTGCATTTCTACTTAGTTCTGATTTCTGATATATCCTCCACTGCTACATACCCACGCCTCCAGAGAGACCTGTCTGCTCCCTTACCTGCCCACCCCTGCCTACTCCTACTCCTCCTCCTACTCCACCTTCTCCTCCTTCTACTTCTCTCTCCTCCTCCTTCTCCTCCTCTTTCTCCTCTCCTCTACTCCACCTTCTCCTCCTCCTCTCCTCCCTCTACTTCACCTTCCACTCCTCCTATTCCTCCCTCCCACTCCACCTTCCCCTCCTCCTACTCCACCTTCTCCTCCTCCTACTCCTCCCTCCTCCTCTTATTCAATCCTACTCCTCCTATTCCTCCTTCTACTCCACCTTCTCCTCCCTCTACTCCACCTTCTCCTCCTCCTACTCCTCCCTCTACTTCACCTTCCACTCCTCCTATTCCTCCCTCCCACTCCACCTTCCCTCTCCTCCTACTCCACCTTCTCCTCCTCCTACTCCTCCCTCCTCCTCTTATTCAATCCTACTCCTCCTATTCCTCCTTCTACTCCACCTTCTCCTCCCTCTACTCCACCTTCTCCTCCTCCTACTCCTCCCTCTACTTCACCTTCTACTCCTCCTACTCCTCCCTCCTACTCCACCTTCTCCTCCTCCTACTCCTCTCTCTACTCCACCTTGTCCCCTACCTGACAACATTATATTTTGAAAAAAAAAAGTTGCTCTGGCCCCTCTTCCGCCACTTCCCAGGGGGGAATACCACACTAACAAAAAAAAAATAAAAAATTATTATTCAGACTGTTTTGGGCACTCTCAAGGAAATAGTGCGGTCCTGACCCAGATTCCCATGGAAGTAAGACACCTGTATCATCACTGGGAGGTGGCTGCCCCTCATGTTTTCTTCACTAAGTCCCCAGAAATCTCATAAAAGGAACCTGACTCAATAAAACATGAAACACTAAAAATCGATATCAGCTCTCTACAGAGGGGGGGGCAGCAAGAGAACTGTAAATGGAAAGACAAATACCCTCAATCTCACACAGAAATAGGTGAGGATATCTCTTCTACTACTCCTCATGGTTGCTTTGAACAGATGAAAGAAGAAATAAGACACCTCTCAACAAGGCATGCAGTAGCTTTGCCAGATCCTGACTCCACTCTGTTTGCGGATGAAGAGGAAAGGTACCATACTGGATTTGCTGTTGCTACAGAAGATCAGGTACGTCAAGCATCTTTACTTTCCTCACCCACATCTGCTCAAGACACCAAATTGACAGCCTTCTCAGTGGCATGCAAATTGTTTGTTTCTGAAAGACAAGGCCATGCAACAGGAGTGCTCACTCAGGCCCATGGTCCTGGAGGCCGCCATGGGCCTATTGGATTTTTCTCCTGCCAACTGGATATTGTGGCCAGAGGACGTCCCTCTTGCCTTCGGGCCGTCTTTGCTGCCAGAGAGCTCATTGAAAGAACTGGAGATCTTGTCCTTGGCCACCCCCTGGTTGTCTTGGCCCCCCATGACATTTCTGCCATAGTCAACCAGGTCCAACTTAAGCATGTTACTCCTGCTAGGCATCTTCGCCTTCAATGTCATCTTTTGTTGCCTGACAACATTACCCTCCAAAGATGTCAAGTTCTCAATCCGTCCACTCTTCTGCCACTCCCTGAGGGGGGTGTATACTACGGATTCATCATGGACGAAACTTATGTTTTTCTTCTCACTGGCACCATCAAGAAGGAAATGCATCCCAACCTATCCTTTCATGATGGACAAGCACTCCTTCATGACGGAGCAGGATATGCCTTCTGTACCATGTGGTACAAATCAAACATCACTCCTGAATCCTGCTATGAAGATGAACTCTATCATCTGGTCGAAGTAAAACTCACTGCACAAGACTTCTACTGTGATTCTGAAGGCAACAGTATGGTCTTGATTCATCTACCTCCGGAACTCAAGCATTTGTACCGTCATTGGGACACTGCCATTCCACATGTCCCTGTGACCAAGTTGAAAACAATATCATGGAATGATCTTGGGCCTATGGCAAAAGCATGGGCCACTATGGACGAATCACAGCTACAGGAAAATGGTGTTGTCAAATATCCAACAACTGACCACCTAAAAGCATGGCCGCGTCATTTCCTGGAGAATGAGTTCCAAGATTTAACCATAGTGAATGACTACGACCCAGATACACCTCATGACTGTTTTGAACAGATGAAAATGGAAACAACACATCTACCAACTGTGCATGAAGACCCATTGGTAGATCCCGATCTCACCCTGTTTGTGGACGGCTCAAGATATGCTGATGAAGAAGGAAGATACCATACAGGATATGCCGTAACCACAACAGATGAAATTGTCAAATCATCATCTTTACCATCAACTATGTCTGCACAAGAAGCTGAATTGCAAGCCCTGACTTCAGCATGCAAGATCTCTGAAGGAAAGCGCGCCAATATCTACACGGATTCAAGATATGCACTGGGCGTGGCTCACGACTTTGGATTAATTTGGAAAACAAGAGGATTTTTTACCACCGCCGGTACACCAATCAAGCACGGTTCCGCAATCAAGGAGCTGATGGACGCCCTCCTACTCCCAGAAGAAGTGGCTATTTTGAAGATAAAAGCACATGGGAAGTTGGACTCAGATGAAGCAAGGGGCAACCATCTAGCTGATCAGGCTGCAAAACAAGCTGCAAAAGAACCACAGGAAGTGGAAAGAAGAGTGTCCGGAAATGAAGAAACTCCCATATTTACTCTGCAGACTCTTCCAACTGACCTAAAAATCCTGCGGGAACAACAGGCTACAGTTGCCCCTGAAGAAATACAGAAGTGGAAACAGAAAGGGGCAGTTCTGAAGGATGGAGTGTACTCCAACAACCTCAAGTTCTGCCTCCCTAAGAATTTGTACCCAGCAGTCGTACAATGGGCACACGGACCTGCACATTTATCAAAGGATCTAATGAATGCTCTTGTACAAAAATACTACCTCATTGTCCCTATATGAGATTCTATTTGGGACTGCACCTAGGCTAGGTTGCTATTTTCCCCAACAACTACAACTTCAAACTGATGTCTTAGTAGATTATGTAACTGAACTCGCAAACGCCTTAAACAAAATCCATGCCCAAGTTTTCTCTTCAATTCCAGATCCTGATTCTGACACAGGCAACCACAGTCTGCTCCCCGATGACTGGGTTCTGGTCAAGAAATTTGTGCGAAAACAGTAAATGTCCGTTCCAAGTTCTCCTGATCTCCCCTACCTCTGTCAAATTGGCCGGAAGGCCTAACTGGATCCACGCTTCCCATTGCAAGAAGACACCTGCCCCAGAGGAAGCTAACTCTATGCAACCATGTGCCTCTGGTACATTATCTCCTTAGTTGGCCTCCTTAAAGCCCAGCAGGTGGCCATCACCAAAGATGCTAGTGGGTACACCTTCTGGTATAATTCATCATGTACCCGTGTGGCTACTTATACTTTTGACTACTGTGACATCGTAGAATGCCCATTCCCCACGTCACAGATTCAGAATATCTATAGAGATATCCCTCATTCAAAAGACCCCTATGTTTGTGTAGTTGACAAACAATGGGGGCAC